CCCGAAACACAAAACAAAGCTTCATATAGATAATACTAAATACATTAATGATTTAACAAAAAAGACACCTGTATGGTACTGTACGACAGCCGAGAGGAGTCAAATCATTGAATACCTCAGCCTTATATACCCCCTCTAGGACCACTAAGCGCCCCTAGATTACATGCCTTTGATACCTCTTACTCCCTTAGGAGAAATCAGTTTCCTTTGATTCATTCTTCAAACGAGGAAAACTATATTTCTCCTCCTACACTCTTCCACAAAGTATACAGACAACACAACATCATAAATACTTGGACTGGCTGTATTTGTATAACATAGCAAGAGGTTCAAAGAGTCGGTGTTCAGAGCCCTAGTGACAATGACACTTGTAGACGATTATTCAAACTATCCTCAACGTATCCATCTTTTGCGTTCTCACTTTTCCACCTTCCATGTCGTTTGAACACCGTCCGGGAACACCGTTATTTGCTGCAGCAGACGCTCCCCACTACGGAGACTGTGCAAACCGTACATTTTAATGTCCTTGACAAACGGCTTGAATGTCTCTAGAAATAGTTCTCGTAACCTTGTGTAATGACATTGAGTATTGCCTTTTTCTTAACGAGTAGCCGGATTTGGTCTTGATAAATTTCTTAACACAAACTCATATCTGACTCTGGTTGAATGTTAGCATAGTCCAGATATTTCAGTAAACAAGATACTTGGACACACAATTTGAGTTTGTTCCTGCTTATGACCAGCCAAGAACCGTCTCTATACAATATCGGTCTTAGACTGTTCCCATAAAGAGCATCATATGAGTATCATAAAAACAACATCACATCTGGAAATATTTAAGAGTTCTGCTTGACCTCAAACCCGCATATGCTAGCAAACACATCGTAACAATTCTCAAATCAGCCAAAGAAGGTTGGCACATGTTAGTATCATACACTTTCTCCAGTAACTCAATAGTAACCGGTTCTTTTTGAAACTGACTTTGCTAGCTTCCGTTTAGCAGCTTCCAATACATTTCTAACCAGAGAACTATCTGTTGGGTTTTCAATGCCTACACTGACATGTGCATGCCTGATACTATAAAATGCTGCTTGCACCGCAGCATAAGATTCACTTTGCTGAATTACTGACAGTAGATACAAAGAACAATGCAAAGGTGATATCGGTAACTTATTGTTCATAGAAAATGAATCTGCCCACCTTTCCCATGCCTCAAACCCATACCGGTACTTCCTGGTAGTAGAGTCGGCTCTACAATGGGACAACAACTCCGGCAAACCAGCCGCTAGCTTACGAACACCCTCCGGCATCATCTGTGAACAGAATGAAACAATTAGCATGCACTGAAATCAACACGCAAAGCTAACATATTGAAATGCAGATCTTTCCCTCCAAACAATCCACCCCTCAATCTGGAAGCTACATAGCATTCCTTAGCTCTGGGGAGATATACCCACCACTTCACTTGTGTGATATAGGCATTCCCTACTGCTAACAGAGGCCAAAAACAGGAAGAATACCACTCTGGTACAACAAGAGTACCTCTAGCACGGCACTCTGGTACAACAAGAGTACCTCTAGCACGGCACTCCGACATATGTCTAATTGTTCTCGGTATAAGACAGACATTAATAAAATTAATATACCTCCACCTAGTCTTATCTCCCTTATATTACACTCGGAAATGCTGCGTTAAGTTCGCTAAACTGCATTTGGTAACAGTTCAGTTTTGAGGTAGTGTAATATACTGTTAAATATACACGGGAACCTGAACTTTCGCTTTGGATAGGAAGTATAAGAGTTAACAAACGTTTCAAAGACAGACATCGTATGAACGCACTACCATTTCTGTTTATCAACACCCCTAAACACAAGGCATGGGATGCACTTACACCACGCACTAGTACACTAAATATCGTCTCTGATGCACACATTATGGGCGTGTCTGTGTCAACAGTCAGCACTATGTTATGTTCTAGGTATCCAGATTCTCAGTAGCCCTGTGTATCTGATATACCTGTATACATGAGGCCAGTCTACAGTCAACACAGCCATGCTATCAGACAGGGCGTCAACCCGCACTTACTCACTGTCTTTAACTGCGTTACCTTGCACGGATCAGTCTCTTCACAACGGTTATACAAACATGAAGATAAGGTGCATCTGGCAGTAGTCTTAGTATTTATCAGGAAATATATTCATGTAAGTTAGATATGTCTCATCCAGAGGTTGTAGGTGAGATATGTCTCAACCAGTTGTTGGTGAACTATGTCTCATCCAGAGGGTGTAAGTGAGATTTATTACCCACGTGGTCAACGTATGGGAAGTTGCATACTAATCTCGTACGTCACGCGATTGTCGTATCCCGTTGACCTGTGTCGTAATGACTTGACCTGAAATTCTAACTATTTGATTGGATAACCCATGACCTCGCAATTAGGTCACATTCTGACGTAGCTATCAAACACGTGAATTCATTCATTCTACAACTTAAATGCATTGTGAGAATGTAAACATCGCGGAACTTTGCTTTACAACGCTGTTAATTGTGAGCCGAACTGGAGACATTATATCCGTCGAAAACATAAACGCAATGTTTCCACCAGTGATGTTAGCCAAAATGAAGCAACTGGAAACCAATAAACGAGGTGCTACGGGTAGCCACTGTAGGAGGCTGCACGAGGCGATGACAACTGACATGCATCGTGACGTCGGTTACCATGGCAGGGACGCCATTACAGTGTGACGTCATGCAAATGTTGTACTACAGTACAAAAACTCTTCCGCAACCTCTTTTATTGAAACCGGTTTCGGTTTGAAACCAAAACATAACGCAAGTACGCTATTTTGTCAATTCTAAATGCATGTAAGACGTGGGTAATAAATAATATCAAATCTCGGTCTCATTACATCCAAACACGAAATCCCAGACCTTTCATCTAGATATTCGACTCTCGCTTCGCCGTATCAGACACCATAGAAGGACACTCGTTTCGTATAATTGGTATGTAATGAGACCGAGTGTAGTATTCTCTATATATCTCATCCAGGGGTTGTAAGTGAGATATATCTCATCCAGAGGTTGTTAGTTAGACATATCTCATCCAGAGGTTGTAAGTGAGATTTGTCTCATCCAGAGGTTGTAAATTAGATATGATGTCAACCAACACAAATGTCTCTTCCAGATGTTCATCATGAATCAGGACTGGAATGACCCCAAGTCTCAGTTACAACAGTCTTGTCTAACCCTGAGAGAGCTGGATGGTGGAGAGCCAGACATTCCTGTCTACTAAGCAAGTGTTGTTCTTAAACCCCTGAGAGAGCTGGATGGTGGAGAGCCTGTGACATTCTGTCCACAAGTAAGTGCTGTCTAACCCTGAGAGAGCTGGATGGTGGAGAGCCAGACATTCCTGTCTACAAGTAAGGTTGTCTAACCCTGAGAGCTGGATGGTGGAGAGCCAGATGGATTCCTGTCTACAAGTAAGTGTTGTCTAACCCTGAGAGAGCTGGATGGTGGAGAGCCAGACATTCCTGTCTCATAAGCAGTGTTGTCTAACCTGAGAGCTGGATGGTGGAGAGCCTGACATTCTGCCTGCAAGTAAGTTGTCTAAACTCTGAGAGAGCTGGGATGGTGGAGTATTGTGACATTCCTGTCTACAAGCAAGTGTTGTTCCAACCTCTGAGAGAGAGCTTGGATGGTGGGAGTGCCAGACATTCCTGTCTACTAGTAAGTGTTGTCTAACCCTGAGAGAGCTGGATGGTGACAGAGCCAGACATTCCTGTTCACAAGTAAGTGCTGTCTGTCCCCAGAGAGCTGGATGGTGGAGAGCCAGACATTCTGTCTACAAGTAAGCAAGTTGTCCAACCCTGAGAGCTGGCTGACAACTGGAGTGCCAGACATTCCTGTCTACTAGTAAGTGTTGTCTAACCCTGAGAGCTGGATGGTGAGGGCCAGACATTCCTGTCTATAAGTAAGTGTTGTCTAACCCTGAGAGAGCTGGATGGTGGCAGTGCCAGACATTCCTGTTCCAAGTAAGTGCTGGGTGTCAACCCTGAGAGAGCTGGATGGTGGAGAGCCGGACATTCCTGTCTACAAGTAAGTGCAAGTTGTTCAACCCTGAGAGAGCTGGATGGTGGAGAGCCAGACATTCCTGCCTACAAGTGAGGGCAATTAGTGTTATCTTACCCTGAGAGAGCTGGATGGTGGAGAGACGGACATTCCTGTCTACAAGTAAGTGTTGTCTAACCCTGAGAGCTGGATGGTGGAGAGACAAACATTCCTGTCTACAAGTAAGTGTTGTCTAACCCTGAGAGAGTTGGATGGTGGAGAGACAGACTCGTCTGCAAGTAAGTGCTGTCTAACCCTGAGAGAGGCTGGATGGTGGAGAGCCAGACATTCCTGGCTACAAGTAAGTGTTGTCTAACCCTGAGAGAGCTGGATGGTGGAGAGCCAGACATTCCTGTCTACAAGTAAGTGTTGCCCAACCCTGAGAGAGCTGATGGTGGAGAGCCAGACATTCCTGTCTACAAGTAAGTATTGTCTAACCCCTGAGAGAGCTGGATGGTGGAGAGCCAGACATTCCTGTCTACAAGTAAGTGTTGTCTAACCCTGAGAGAGCTGGATGGTGGGAGAGCCAGACATTCTGTCTACAAACTGCAAGGTTGTCTAACCCTGAGAGCTGGATAGTGGAGGGGCCAGACATTCCTGTCCACAAGTGCGTGCAAGTTATCTTACCCCAGAGAGAGCTGGATGGTGGAGAGCCAGACATTCCTGTTCACAAGTAAGTGTTGTCTAACCCTGAGAGAGCTGGATGGTGGAGAGCTGGACATCTCTGCTCCACAAGCAAGTGTTGTCGACCTTGAGATGAACAATTTTATGGATAACAACTTTTTTATTCGTGAGTACTCACGAATAAAAAGAAGTTGTTATCCATAAAGTTTGTTCTATATTGTACTTCCCAACTTCTAAAATGCCACTCAAAGAAGTAACCCTGAGAGAGGTGGATGGTGGAGAGCCAGACATTCCTGTCTACAAGTAAGTGTTGTCTAACCCTGAGAGAACTGGATGGTGGAGAGCCAGACATTCCTCTGTACAAGTAAGTGTTGTCTAACCCTGAGAGAGCTGGATGGTGGAGAGCCAGACATTCCTCTCTACAAGTAAGTGTTGTCTAACCCTATCAGTCAGTGTTAAATGAATAAGAGAGCTAGCCATACTTAAATAGCCAAGTGTTGCCTGATATCTAAGCTTTGGCCGGGCTCCAGAGAACTCTTCATTAAGTGCGTATGCCCGAATGACGAGGAATTCTTTGCAATTGATATCTTTGGTATTGTGCATAATCAACCCCTCCAAGAATCAGGAAAGTGATCAGGTTTAAATTGGACCATGTATCATGATTATCACATTTCTTCCACAGGGTCATAGAGTCCCGTGGTCCGACCAACACAAGGCAGTGCGTGGTGGCAGTGTACTTCCGGGGTGAGCGGCTAGCCACTGGCATGGGGCACAGCATACAGCGGGGCAGAGATGAAGGCTGCCACTAATGCTTTACAGAACAGAGCAGGTAATGAAAGCTGTATTTTCTCTGTCGTCCCTGTGTTCCCCCAAGGATGGCCTGACAGTGTGACCTGCCTGACAGTGTGACCTGACTGGTTGTGTGACCAGTTTGACAGTGTGACCTGACTGGTTGTGTGACCGGTCTGACAGTGTGACCTGACTGGTTATGTGACCAATCTGACAGTGTGACCTGACTTAGTATGTGACCTGTGTTACCTGTCTGGTTGTGTGACCAGTTTGACTGTGCGACCTGACTGGTTGTGTGACCAGTTTGACAGTGTGACCAATCTGACAGTGTGACCTGACATAGTATGTGACTTCTGTTACCTGTCTGGTTGTATGACATGTCTGGTTGTTTGAGCAGTCTGACAGTGTGACCTGTCTGGTTGTGCGACCAGTTTCACAGTGTGACCTGACTGGGTGTGTGACCTGTCTGGTTGTTTGACCAGTCTGACAGTGTGACCTGTTTGGTTTTGTGACCTGTCTGACAGTGTGACATGTCTGGTTGTGTGACCTGTCTGGCTGTGTGACATGTCTGGGTGTGTGACCTGACTTGGTATGTGACCTGTTTGGTTTTATGACCAGTCTGACAGTGTGACCAGTCTGGTTGTGTGACCTGTCTGGTTGTGCAACCAGTGTGACCTGTCTGGTTGTGTGACCTGTCTAGTTGTGTGACCAGTGATACCAGTCTGTTTGTGTGGTTGTGTGACCTGTCTGGTTGTGTGACCAGTGTGACCTGTCTGGTTGTGTGACTTGACTTGGTATTTGACCTGTCTGGTTGTGTGACATGCCTGGGTCTGTGACCTGACTTGGTATGTGACCTGTCTGGTTTTGTGACCAGTCTGACAGTGTGACCAGTCTGGTTGTGTGGTTGTGTGACCAGTCTGGTAGTGCAACCCGTGTGACCTGTCTGGTTGTGTGACCTGTCTAGTTGTGTGACCAGTCTGACAGCGTCACCAGCCTGGTTGTGTGGTTGTGTGACCTGTCTGGTTGTGTGACCAGTGTGACCTGTCTGGTTGTGTGACTTGACTTGGTATGTGACCTGTCTGGTTGTGTGACCTGACTTGATATGTGACCTGTCTGGTTGTGTGACATGTCTGGGTCTGTGACATGACTTAGTGTGACCAGTCTGGTTGTGTGGTTGTGTGACCTGTCTGGTTGTGCAACCAGTGTGACCTGTCTGGTTGTGTGACCTGTCTAGTTGCGTGACCAGTGTGACCTGTCTGACAGTGTGACCTCTCTGGTTGTGTGACATGTCTGGGTGTGTGACCTGATTTGGTATGTGACCCCTCTGCTTGTGTGACCAGTCTGAGAGTGTGACCTGACTTGGTATGTGACCTGTGTTACCTGACTGGTTGTGTGACCTGTCTAGTTGTGTGACCAGTCTGACAACGTGACCAGTCTGGTTGTGTGGTTGTGTGACCTGTCTGGTTGTGTGACTCGACTTGGTATGTGACCTGTCTGGTTGTGTGACATATCTGGGAGTGTGACCTGACTTGATATGTAACCTGTCTGGTTGTGTGACATGTCTGGGTCTGTGACCTGACTTAGTATGTGACCTATCTGGTTTTGTGACCAGTCTGGTTGTGTGGTTGTGTGACCTGTCTGGTTGTGCAACCAGTGTGACCTGTCTGGTTGTGTGACCTGTCTAGTTGAGTGACCAGTCTGACAGTGTGACCAGTATGGTTGTGTGGTTGTGTGACCTGTCTTGTTGTGTGACCTGTCTAGTTGTGTGACCAGTCTGACAGCGTGACCAGTCTGGTTGTGTGGTTGTGTGACCTGTCTTGTTGTGTGACCTGTCTAGTTGTGTGACCAGTCTGACAGCGTGACCAGTCTGGTTGTGTGGTTGTGTGACCTGTCTGGTTGTGTGACCAGTGTGACCTGTCTGGTTGTGTGACTTGACTTGGTATATGACCTGTCTGGTTTTGTGACCTGTCTGGTTGTGTGACCTGTCTGGTTTTGTGACCAGTCTGACAGTGCGACCAGTCTGGTTGTGTGACCAGTGTGACCTGTCTGGTTGTGTGACTTGACTTGGTATGTGACCTGTCTGGTTGTTTGACATGTCTGGGTGTGTGACCTGACTTGGTATGTGACCTGTCTGGTTGTGTGACATGTCTGGGTGTGTGACCTGACTCGGTATGTGACCTGTCTGGCTTTGTAACCCGTCTGACTTTGTGACCAGTCTGGTTGTGTGACCAGTGTCACCTGACTGGTTGTGTGACCAGTGTGACCTGTCTGTTGCTGTGACCAGTTTGACAATGTGACCTGTCTGGTTGTGTGACCAGTCTGACGATGCGACCTGTCTGGTTGTGTGACCAGTCTGACAATGTAACCTGTCTGGTTGTGTGACCTGTCTGACAATGTGACCTGTCTGGTTGTGTGACCTGTCTGACAATGTGACCTGTCTGGTTGTGTGACCTGTCTGACAATGTGACCTGTCTGGTTGTGTGACCTGTCTGGCAGCGTGGGTCATTGCTCATGATGCTAGTCCCACGTTTTCTCAGTCCAGGATGATATGGTACTCAATTTGGAGACAAGAAATATAGATATTTGTGAAAAGGTAATCATTCACTCCTAGATTGATATACATTGTATGTTTGGTGGGCTTTAAATGACTGGAATCAAACTTGCTCAGATTGAGAACTAGCCAGACTTAGTCCCATTTAGCATCCTCAAGTTCATCCCACATCATCTGTGTGTGTGAACCTATTGTGAAATTAGCCAGTATTGGAGACAGCTCTGAATATAATTGAACGATGGTTGAGATTTTTCATGACACCACTTATTACATATACGTAAGTGGATAATGTCTATAAATCTACACTGAAGCCCTGTAACTTTATTCATCATATCCAAGCCAGTATTTTGTGTGTTACCATATTCTGGATGGTATTGTGCAATATGTTGAACATACGTGCAAAATATTGAAATGGTTCCTGTGGTAAATTCAAAAGAATCTTGCCTGCACTGATCGCAGATTCTTAGCCTTGTAAATCTTTGTAAATCCTTTTTTGTTTTACAGAATTGTTCCCTATATTGGCTCATCAGAAACGTTACCTGCAGACACGCCACAAACGGAAACGAAAACAGAGCAAGCGACAAGGTGACAGTTCATATGACTGAGAAAGTACAAGACCTGTACAAAAGAAACAAACATGCACAGAAAAAACAAGGACCGTTGTCCAGAAAACGATGCTTGGGGAAGGAATCGGCATTCTTTTGTTCTGAACACGAAGCCAAATGAAAGGCTTTCTCTTGCCAGGAGCACAATACTACGAAAAGGGAAAGGCCTCCTCATGTTGACAATGTAAAATTATATGAAAGGCTTTCTTCTTGTTTTTGAAGCAAAACCAGAGGAAAATCCTCAATGTTATGTTAACATCAGAGTAACGGAAAGCTTTCTCATGTCCAGAAGACACCATGGGAAACCCTTTCTCATACATGGAACACAAAACTTATTGAAAGGATACCTAGTGGCCGAAACACACACCAATGAGAAATGAAAGACTTTCTCTTGTCCCCGATTCCCAAACTAAGGAAAATCCTTGGTTGTCTGAAACCCTGAAAATATGCAGAAAGGAATCGTCATGTCTGGTCCACAGAACAAAGGGGAATGTCATGGACCTAAAGGAAGGGAAAGATACATCGTTCAGGTCGAAAAAGAAACAAAAATGAAATTTTGTAACCATCCAAGGTACTACTGATGTGTTCGTTCTATTTCAGAGTGCTACTATATACATTTGTGTCTGTCTTGTCTTGTAGCAATATTTCTGTGAGGGATGTCAGCATGAATGTGTGTTTGAGTGCTCATGGGAAGTGTGATTATTTTCCAAAATCGGAAATCGTGTCTTCAATGTATGTATTTTTGTGTCAACACAACATGAACTGGACAAATGTGAATATAAATTGTGCTATGTCTTTTCCCTTGTAAGCTTGGTGTTTTTGAATCATGGACCAGGCTGTGCTGTTTACTTTATATTTTGCAACAGTTTACTTTTGTTTATTGTAGAAATGTCACATGGTCATATGATGCCACAGTAAAGAGATTTATTGTACTCTTGTGTTGTTGGGATTCTCTGGATGACAAGACTGCCCGGTGGGGATGTAGGAACTCTTATTGTAGTCTTGTGTTATTGGGATTCTCTGGATGACAAGACTTCCCGCTGGGGATGTAGGAACTCTTTTTGTAGTCTTGTGTTGTTGGGATTCTCTGGATGACAAGACTGCCTGGTGGGGATGTAGGAACTCTTATTGTACTCTTGTGTTGTTGGGATTCTCTGGATGACAAGACTGCCCGGTGGGGATGCAGGAACTCTTATTGTAGTCTTGTGTTATTGGGATTCTCTGGATGACAAGACTGCCCGGTGGGGATGTAGGAACTCTTATTGTAGTCTTGTGTTGTATTGCTGGGATTTTGTTGACTTCTTTGTGGGGATTCAGGGATTCTTATTGTCCTATGTATTCAGCGGCGTCCGTACGTATGTCCGTACGTCGCGATTCTGTTAATGCGATATCTCATGAACTGTTGTACCTAATGTCTTCAAATTTGGTGACCACCTACATTGGGGGATTATGCAGAGAGCAGTCGATTTGGGTGACCTTGACCATATTTTCAAGGTCACCCTGACACTTTGACCACTTTTCAAACTCTTGTTAGCGTGATGTCTCATGAACTGTTGCACCCAATGTCTTCAAATTTGGTGACAGACTACTTTAGGGGATTATGCTGACACCAGTTGATTTGGGTGACCTTGACCTTGTCTTCAAAGTCACCATGACACTTTGAACACTTTTCAAGCTCTTGTTAATGCGCGGGGCGGTGGGGTAGCCTAGTGGTTAAAACGTTCGCTCGTCACGCCGAAGGCCCGGGTTCGATTCCCCACTTGGGTACAACTTGTGAAGCCCATTTCTAGTGTCCCCCGCCGGGATATTACTGGAATATTGCTAAAAACGGCGCAAAACCATACTCAGTCAGTCAGTCTTGTTAATGAGACATCTCTGGACTGTTGTACCCAATGTCTTCAAATTTGGTGACAGCCTACATTAGGGGATTTTGCAGACACCAGTTTATTTGGGTGACCTTGGCCTTATCTTCAAGGTCACTACGACACTTTGACCACTTTTCAAACTTATTTAAACTCGATATCTCATAAAACATTGCACCCAATGTTTTCAATTATGTCGACAGCCAACATTGGGTGATTATGCAGACACCAGGTATTTCAGGCATCTTGTATGTGACAAAAAAAATGAAAAGTAGTAAATATAGATATTCCATTCTATAGTGGCAGGGGACATTGCAATATCCGTGGCAAACACTTGTTGTAGTCTTGTGTGGTTGGGATTCTCTGAATGACCAGACTGCTTTAGGGGGATTTAGGGATTCTTATTGTTATCTTGTGTTGTTGGGATTCTCTGAATGACCAGACTGCTTTGGGGTGAATTAGGGATTCTTATAGTGGTCTTGTGTGGTTGGGATTCTCTGAATGACCAGACTGCTTTAGGGGGATTTAGGGATTCTTATTGTTATCTTGTGTTGTTGGGATTCTCTGAATGACAAGACTGCTTTGGGGTGAATTAGGGATTCTTATAGTGGTCTTGTGTGGTTGGGATTCTCTGAATGACCAGACTGCTTTGGGGTGAATTAGGGATTCTTATTGTTGTTTCTTGTGGTTGGGATTCTCTGAATGACAAGACTGCTTTTGTGGGATTTAGGGACTCTTATTGTTGTCTTGTGTTTTTGGGATTCTCTGAATGACAAGACTGCCTTTGGGGGATTTAGGGACTCTTATTGTGGTCTTGTGTTTTTGGGATTCTCTGAATGACCAGACTGCTTTTGGGGGATTTAGGGATTCTTATTGTTATCTTGTGTGGTTGGGATTCTCTGAATGACCAGACTGCTTTGGGGTGAATTAGGGATTCTTATTGTTGTTTCGTGTGGTTGGGATTCTCTGAATGACAAGACTGCTTTTGGGGGATTTAGGGACTCTTATTGTTGTCTTGTGTTGTGGGGATTCTCTGGATGACAAGACTGCCTGATGGGGATTTAGGGACAGAAATACCTCTCAGTACCTTTTATTTGTTTTGTAAAACATACCACTGAAAGGATTCTTTCATGTTGCTATGGTTCATATATCATGGCATGAAAGATTGACTATGGTTATGAGAGATATGGATAAGGATAGTTGGGTTATCCTTAACTTCTTTGCAGTAGTAGATAACTGGTGAAGATTGACTAGTTTCAGTGTAAGACAGAACGTTGCCACTCTGTGGTATAACAGAAATATTGTTTTTTCCCAGTGTTAGATCAAATCACTGACAAAAGATTTAAGGGGCATGATTACACCCACAACCATGGTAACTCATCACAAATACACGGGGAAGTATGGAGATAAAACAGTGGACGATGTTTTATCTTTATTTTTACAATTTTTGAAAACAAAAAAATTTCTCACTTGGTATTAGCTAGCCATATTTACAGATGTTGATCCAACCAGATGGATATTTCGGACAGTAACATTAACGGCGCGACAAAGTACATCTAACGATACCCATGTAGATTCGGGTTAGAATTGATCTTCAGTAACCCATGCTTGTCATAAGAGGCGATCTGGTAGTCAGACTCGCTGACTTGGTTGAGACATGTCATTGTATCCCTATTGCACAGATCGATGCTCATGCTGTTGATCACTGGATAGTCTGGTCCAGACACAATTATTTACATGTGAATATTGCTGAGGGCGGCGTAAAACTAAACTCACTCACACACTCTCTGAAAAGCATTTAGAAGTGATACACATAAGAGAAGAATTTACGGATGTCAGTTTCTTTATTTGAGGAACACCAAGTTTCGGAGTATATTCTAACTCCTTCATCAGGGGAATGGGGGTAAATGGGAGCATATTGCCAGTTTTACATTACACTGAATATAGATACAATCGTAAGTGTCATAGGTGTACATATATACCAACTGTAAATAACTGTAATAATAATCATATTATAGGATATTTATATAGTACACATATCCACTAGTACATGCTCAAGCTGCAGTTCTTATTTCACTTTCAAACCAATTTATCAGCATCTGAAACCTGCGGTCATTTAATCCTGGGTATTAACTACAACATTTTGACTCATATGGGATTTGAGACATTAGACTCAACATCATTACCTGACTTGGCCATCTGACAACAAAAAATGAACTTTTCGTAACATTTGTGGAAGAAATTGTCAGGAGCAGTTAAACATTACACTGTATGATCACAGAATAAACCTGGGGATTCAGATCCTAGAAGGTGTTATACTCAAAGGGGCCAACTTTCTAAATAACCAGCTAGAAGAAAGATCTAATGTGTGTGTGGTAGACACTTATTCAGATAGGGAACATGTACACATGTTTATGTGTGTCTCTTGTCTCAGCTGACAAACAATATTTTCTGTCCCTGTGAGTAGATACATATCAGAGATCATAGAGACAAACGTGTTGTGCATTATTGGTCAGTCCTTCCCCCAACCATCACCCAGCTATCTGATAACATTATATAACCTTGTTGACTGGCGACTAGAAGTTTGATAGTTACATAAAACATAAACAGTAGTGAGTCCTATTTTCCTCTCAAATACTGGTATACAACTAGAAGTTTGATAGTTACATAAAACATAAACAGTAGTGAGTCCTCTTTTCCTCTCAAATACTGGTATACAAGAAGAAGTTTGATAGTTACATAAAATATACTCAGTAATGGCACCTATTTTCCTCTCAATTACTGGTAAACAATAATGGACTAAATAGGTACATAAAATATATGCAATTACCATTCGTACTTTCCTCTCAAACACTGTCATTCAATAATAGATAAGACAGTTATATATATTGTATATATATATATATATATATATATATATATAAGAAGAAGTTTCTGAAATAATCACTCGACACGGATCTTCTCCTGAAGATAAAAGTGAAACCTGATGGAGAAGATCCGTGTAGTCTGATTATTTCAGAAACTTCTTCTTATATATGTACTACTGTACGCTCGGTATTCTCATCACTTTCTATATATATATACACACACAGTAATGGCTTAGATAATCTAATCAAATATATACAGTAATGGTTCAGATGGTTTCATCAAAAATATGCAGTAATGGCTCAGACAGTTTTATCAAATATATACAGTAATGATTCAGATAGTTTATCAAATATATGCAGTAATGGCTCAGACAGTTTTATCAAATATATGCAGTAATGATTCAGATGGTCTCATCAAATATATGAAGTGATGGTTCAGATGGTCTTATCAAATATATAGAGTAACGGCTCAGACAGTTTTATCAAATATATACAGTAATGGTTCAGGCAGTTTTGTCAAATACATGCAGTAATGGTTCAGATAGTTTATCAAATATGTGCAGTAATGGTTCAGATATTCATATCAAATATAAACAGTAATGGTTCAGATAGTTTATCAAATATTTACAGTAATGGTTCAGATAGTATATCAAATATATACAGTAATGGTTCAGATAGTTTATCAAATATACACAGTAATGGTTCAGATGTTCTCATCGAATATATGCAGTAATGATTGAGATAGTTTATCAAATATACAAAGGGATGGTTCAGATACTCTTATCAAATATATGCAGTAATGGTTCAGATAGTCTTATCACATATATACAGTAATGGTTCAGATAGTCTTATCAAATATATAAAGCAATGGTTCAGGCAGTTTTGTCAAATATATGCAGTAATGGTTCAGATAGTTCATCACATATATGCAGTAATGGTTCAAATGCTCTTATCAAATATATACAGTAATGGTTCAGATAGTTTATCAAATATATGCAGTAACGGTTCAGATAGTCTTTTCAAATATATACAGTAATGGTTCAGATAGTCTGTGAAATATATGTAGTAATGGTTCAGACAGTGTTATTAAATATCTAAAGAAGTGGTTCACACAGTCTTGTCAAACATATACAGTGATGGTTCAGATGGTCTTATCAAATATATACAGTGATCATTAAGTTAGTCTTATCAAATATATACAGTAATGGTTCAGAGTGTCTTGTCAAATATATGCACTTATCATTCAGATAGTCTTATCAAATATATGCAGTAATGGTTCAGATAGTCTTATCAAATATATACAGTAATGGTTCAGATAGTCTTATCAAATATGTATTGTAATGGTTCAGGCAGTTTTGTCAAATATGTGCAGTAATGGTTCAGATAGTTTATCAAATATATGCAGTAATGGTTCAGATGGTCCTATCAAATATATACAGTAATGGTTCAGATAGTTTATCAAATATATGCAGTAACGGTTCAGATAGTCTTTTCAAATATATACAGTAATGGTTCAGATAGTCTGTGAAATATATGTAGTAATGGTTCAGACAGTGTTATTAAATATCTAAAGAAGTGGTTCACAGTCTTGTCAAACATATACAGTGATGGTTCAGATGGTCTTATCAAATAGATACAGTGATCATTAAGCTAGTCTTATCAAATATATACAGTAATGGTTCAGAGTGTCTTGTCAAATATATGCACTAATCATTCAGATAGTCTTATCAAATATATGCAGTAATGGTTCAGATAGTCTTATCAAATATATACAGTAATGGTTCAGATGGTCTTATCAAATATATACAGTAATGGTTCAGATAGTTTATCAAATATATGCAGGAATGGTTAAGATAATCTTGTCAAATATATACAGTAATGGTTCAGATAGTCTTTGAAATATATGCAGTCATGGTTCAGGCAGTGTTATCAAATATCTAAAGTAATGGTTCACACAATCTTGTCAAATATATACAATGATGGTTTAGATGGTCTTATCAAAAAGATGCAGTGATCGTTCAGTAAGTCTTATCAAATATATGCTATAATGGTTCAGATGGTCTTGTCAAATATATGCACTAATGATTCAGATAGTCTTATCAAATATATGCAGTAATGGTTCATATAGTCTTATCAAATATGTACAGTAATGGTTGAGGCAGTTTTGTCAAATATATGCAATAATGGTTCAGATGGTCTTATCAAATATATACAGTAATGGTTCAGATAGTTTATAAAATATATGCAGTAATGGTTCAGATAATTTTGTCAAATATATACAGTAATGGTTCAGGCAGTTTTGTCAAATATGTGCAGTAATGGTTCAGGCAGTTTTGTCAAATATGTGCAGTAATGGTTCAGATAGTTTATCAAATATATGCAGTAATGGTTCACATGGTCTTATCAAATATATACAGTAATGGTTCAGATAGTTTATCAAATATATGCAGGAATGGTTAAGGTAGTCTTGTCAAATATATACAGTAATGGTTCAGATAGTCTTTGAAATATATGCAGTAATGGTTCAGACAGTGTTATCAAATATCTAAAGTAGTGGTTCACACAGTCTTGTCAAATATATACAGTGATGGTTTAGATGGTCTTATCAAAAAGATGCAGTGATCGTTCAGTAAGTCTTATCAAATATATGCTGTAATGGTTCCGATGGTCTTGTCAAATATATGCACTAATGATTCAGATAGTCTTATCAAATATATGCAGTAATGGTTGAGATAGCCTTATCAAATATGTACAGTAATGGTTCAGATAGTCTTATCAAATATATACAGTAATGGTTCAGGCAGTTTTTGTCAAATATATGCAGTAATGGTTCAGATAGTTTATCAAATATATACAGTAATGGTTCAGATAGTCTGTGAAATATATGTAGTAATGGTTCAGACAGTGTTATTAAATATCTAAAGAAGTGGTTCACACAGTCTTGTCAAACATATACAGTGATGGTTCAGATGGTCTTATCAAATATATACAGTAATGGTTCAGAGTGTCTTGTCAAATATATGCACTAATCATTCAGATAGTCTTATCAAATATATGCAGTAATGGTTCTGATAGTGTTATCAAATATATACAGTAATGGTTCAGATAGTCTTATCAAATATATGCAGTAATGGTTCAAACAGTTTTGTCAAATATATGCAGTAATGGTTCAGATGGTCTATCAAATATATACAGTAATGGTTCAGATGGTTTTGTCAAATAATATACAGTAATGGTTCAGATGGTCTTATCAAATATATACAGTAATGGTTCAGATAGTTTATCAAATATATACAGTAATGGTTCAGATAGTTTATCAAATATGTACAGTAATGGTTCAGATGGTCTTATTGAATATATGCAGTAACGGTTCACACAGTCTTGTCAAATATATGCAGTAATGGTTCAGATGGTCTTATCAAATACATAATAGTGTTATCAAATATTTACAGTAATGGTTCAGAGAGTTTTGTCAAATATATGCAGTAATGGTTCACACAGTCTGGTCAAATATATGCAGTAATGGTTCAGACAGTGTTGTCAAATATTTAAAGTAATGGTTTACACAGACATGTCAAACAAATACAGTGATAGTTTAGATGGTCTCATCAAATATATACAGTGATCGTTCAGTTAGTCTTATCAAATATATGCAGTAATGGTTCAGATAGTCTTATCAAATATATGCAGTAATGGCTCAGATAGTCTTGTCAAATATATACAGTAATGGTTCAGATGGTCTTGTCAAATAATATACAGTAATGGTTCAGATGGTCTCATCAAATATATATACAGAAATGGTTCAGATAGTTTTATCAAATATATACAGCAATTGCTCAGATAGTTTAATCATATATATTCAGGAATGGCTCGGATTGAAGTTTTTATTCAAACTGGATAGTTTGAACCTACTTGTATTTCCAATTGAAACTACAAGCCTTCATGTTGTTGGACTTTTTATGAAAAAATAACAGCCTTGCAAAAATGTAATTTTTGTGGCAGATATGATGTTATTTTAGTCCATATTGTGAACAATAATTATTTTTTCAAACACTTTCTGTGAAAATTTACTTTCTTTTTTTATAAAGCCCTAGCTCCCCAATACCAAATGATCCTTCCCAAAATATCAGTATCAAAGAGAGCCATTGGCAAACTACAATAGAAATAAAACACATTTGACACAATGATCATTTAAACTGTTGAAAAAATGGATAAAACTGTGAACAACTAATCTCAAATGGTGAAGTTAATATACTGAGAGAAACAAATAAAGAAATGCAGGAAAATTCAAGTGTTCCTTTAATATTTTCCAGTTTTCATCACCAGCGCTGTGGGAGGAAATCTGAGAAATATATAAAGGAACACTACCATGAAGTGGCGTTCCCTTATTTGTTTCCATCAGTATAGTTCAAAATGATGTCACTCATGGGGTGCAGGTGGTCAATGTAATATAAAACTTGGTGGACCGATTTCATTCTGATAGTTACTAGACAAGTATATACACCTTCTACAATGCTGTTTTCTGTATTTGAACACCATTAATATACACATTGAAATATGGATTGTCATGCAGACTTTAGGTTTCAGTACAGGTGCTACTATCATTCCTGAGTTGACAGATATGGTGTAAAGTCTATGTACATTTCAGTTTATCAGCACTGTACAACTGGATCACAAAACTAACGTCCCACTAGTGCCCACTGTTTAGATATGTACACTGAATATATACATGCAGTAAGTTGTCAAATGATGTGAATAATCCATTTAGCTGCATAACAGATGATGTACCAGGAGTGTCAGGCATCCAGGAACAACCCAGTTGAGATTTAACTCACTCTCTACCAGGTGTGTGTGTGTCAGCAGAGACGAAACCGCCTCATCTTTTTCATAGGTTACTCATAATCCAGTCAGATCCTTCATTGGTGTCGTGGTACTTTGAGGGGGGTAGCCTCAGCTAGCTCGATCTTTCATTGGTGTCGTGGTACTTTGAGGGGGGTAGCCTCAACTTCCTGTGAACTTTCCTGAATTCTTTTTCTTCCATACCTGTGGAAATAACATGTCGTATAAGCATAACGTAGACACTTGAAGACATCATACACATTGAATGACTCCTTGTTTGGAGTTGTTTGGAGATAGATAGATAGATAGATAAGGTAGGTAGGTAGATCAGATAGATAGATAAGGTAGGTAGGTAGATTAGATAGATAGACAGATAGATAGAGATAGAGAGTTAGACATATAGATCGATAGATATATATATATACAGCTAGATATGTAGGTAGGTAGGTAGATAGATAGAGTTAGATAGAGATATAGAAAGATAGTTAGATAGATAGGTCGATACAGATATATAGATAGGTAGGTAGATAGATTAGGTAGGTAGGTAGATAAGATAAATAAGATAGGTAGGTAGATTATATAGATAGAGTTAGATAGCTAGAGAGAGAGATATCGATAGAGAGAGAGTTAGGTCGAGAGAGATATATAGATAGGTAGGTAGATAGATTAGGTATGTAGATTAGATAGATAAGATAGGTAGGTAGATTATATAGATAGAGTTAGATAGCTAGAGAGAGAGATATCGATAGAGAGAGCGTTAGGTCGAGAGAGATATATAGATAGGTAGGTAGATAGATTAGGTATGTAGATTAGATAGATAAGATAGGTAGGTAGATTAGATAGATAGAGTTAGATAGCTAGAGAGAGAGATATAGATAGAGAGAGAGTTAGGTCGATAGAGATATATAGATAGGTAGGTAGATAGATTAGGTAGGTAGATTAGATAGATAAGATAGGTAGGTAGATTAGATAGATAGAGTTAGATAGCTAGAGATAGAGAGATATAGATAGAGAGAGAGAGAGATAGATCGATAGAGATAGATAGATAGTTAGATAGATAGATATATAGTTAGATATATATATAGAGAGAGAGTTGGATATACATAAATAGATAGATACAGATATAGATATATAGATAGGTAGGTAGGTAGATTAGAGAGAGTTAGATAGAGACAGATATAGACAGATAGAGAGAGAGTTAGATAGATTGATAGAGTTAGATATAGATAGAGAGAGAGAGAGAGAATTTGATATTCAGCCTGTAAATATATTATCTGGACAAGGTAATCTAGTGATTGATATCATGAGCAACAATCAACAAACAACCACGTCACCAAGTCTGACCACCGGATCCATCAATTCACCTCTTACTGATGATCACAGAAAGTACTGGTGACCAGTTATGGCTGAACATTTAAACAGGAATCAGGTATTTGCAGTGCTGTTTCACATAATGCTCTGCGCATCCTAGCGTTATGGCAGTCTCAGAAAATACTTTTCATAACATCATATCCTCTCCCCATAACACATATTAAAGAATTCTAGAGCTGGATATTGTAAATCATTTAAACAGGATTCTGCTTCTAAAAGACTCATAATATTTCTGGCATCAAGGTGATCATGAAGAGAGTTTAAAGAATTTGAATGGCGAAATAAATATGTAACATTATATTATTACTAACAGTAGCATTTTTTTGCATCATTGTCTTCTTACCTTTTAAGGTAGAACGATGATCATGCTGTTGAGACCCAATCATTTACAGACCGCTGCCATACAGCTGGAATATTGCTGAGTGCGGCATTAAACAACAACCAACGTACCTTTTATGGAGGATGTTTTTCACCCCTCGGCTGCTGCATACTTCAAGTGGGGATTTCCCGTGAACGTCTCTGACGTCAGCATCTGCACCTGCTTCCAACAGTCTCGACACAAGGCCTTCATATCCTCCTTCACTGGCATAGTGTAGCGGAGTACTATTATCAGAATTCACAGGCGATAGCGAGACCCCATGTGCCATCAGCAGATCCACAATACGCGCATGTCCTTGTTTGCAAGCCACATGCAGTGGCGTGTCCCCACGAGCAGTTCTTGGCTCCAGCAGTGCCCCGGCTTGTATGAGAAGCTCAACACATTCATTATGTCCTTCATAACAGCAGCTATGTAACGGGGTCTCAAGTTCGGCCTCCCTGTCCATCTGAACTCTGTTCGTATGTCTTGTACAACCACCCTCCATCTTGTCCTTGTCCATGTCACTTGCACAACTGCCCTCAGTCCTGTCTCTACATATGTTCCCTATATCGGACTCACTACGTCTGTGATTAATATCAACATCATACTTGAGTAACAGTTTCACTGTGTTAATGTAATTGTACGTACAAGCCACAAGAAGGCAGTAGTTTAGATTTTTGATGAATGTTTTCTTCCGTAAGAAGCCCTGATTTTGGTTCTGTGAACACTGAACTTCTATTTGCAGCCGTGACCGATGAAGCAACAACTCCACAATGGACTCATGTTGTCGATCACAGGCTAACATCAGAGGGGTCTTTTCTAATTATTTGTTGCTAGAATATCACTCCCCATGTTGAGAAGTGCTTTGACAGCATCAGTATGTCCTTCATGACATGCTACATGAAGAGCAGTTTTACCGTGCTTGTTACACTGTGTGTCCCTCGCTCCCCACTTAGCCTGGAGAACCACCACATCACACACACCAGCTCTGGCAGCTAAATGCAGAGGTGTATCAAGAGCACTGTCTAATGCATTGATATCTGATCCAGCCTTCAATAAAACTTCAGCAACATCCCGGTGTCCTTCCAGACAAGACAAATGAAGTGCTGTTTGTCCGTCATTGGTTTTTGCCTGGAGATCATGGTCAGATTCCAGCAGAAGCTTCACAACATCCACGTGGCCCTTCCAACTGGCTACATGCAAAGGTGTCATATTGTTAGAATCACTGACACTAGATAATGACGATTCTTGCAAAATCAGTTTTACTATGTTTGCACTTCCACTTGAACATGCATTATACAAGGGTGTCTTCCTTGCTTATTTCTAGCATCGCAGCTGTACCCTCGTCTGATCAAAGTTCTCACCATTTTCAAGGCTCTCAGTTTCTGCTGCATAGTGTAAGGGTGTGTTACCATGGAGCTAATATCAATCTCTTCAGCCATCATCAGTCTCATGAAGTCTTCTCTGCCCACCTGTCTGATAAACTGCTGAAGATGCGGCACGGACAGATCCATGGCAGAAAAGTGACAGTATTCTGTCATCATGTAATGGATCATGTCATAAGCGTGTCCATGGCTGACTGCTTCGTGGAAAGGTGTTCTTCCTTCATAATTCTTTGAAGTAATCACATCATCTGTGCTGTTTATATGCTTTAACAATGGTAGATTCCTCCTGCAATTTCACCACTATATGAAGAGGGTATTACCACTTTTTGTCAACAGCTATAACACTAGCTCCAGCTCCTAAGAGTTTTTCAACTACGTTCACATTCCCACCATAGCAGGCAATGTGCAGAGCAGTTTGATGAAAGCTGTTTACCATTTCAACATCAACATTGTTATCCAAAAGAATGCACAAGTTTCCTAGATTCTGTGCGCGTATTACAAGGTGAAGTGGAGTATTTCCATTTTTGTCACGCAGTGACAAAACCTTGACCTTGATCTTCTTGTGAATTGCATCTATCATAGCTTTAAGACATGGTCCATGGCAAGCAATATGCACTGGTGCCTCTCCATGATTATTGAATACAAGCAACCAGGCTCCTGCTATTATCAATAACTGTACTATCTCTTCCGATCTTTCCTCACAGGCAACATGAAGAGCAGAATTTCCATCACTGTCTTTTTCAGCAAAAACAATCTCAGAATTGTAAAGTAACTGTATTTTGTTGTCCCGGCAAATGTGATGGAGGGATATCATGCTTATTCCTGGATGACACTTTGACACAGCATACCAGTGGTCATATACACATGTTACTCCATAGTGCGTATTGATGATTGCAAGATCAAGTGGACTCATTGCTCTTGTGTTCTTTTCATTGAAACTAAGTCCTTTCTCAATCAGTACTTTAGCTATTTCAAAGTGACCACGAGCACATGCTGCATGGAGAGCTGTATTTCCATTGGTGTCTTTTGTCTGGATATCTATTCCTTTACCAATCAAGTAATTCACCAGTTCAATATTTCCTACTTTGCAGACAACATGAAGCATTGATTCCCCTAGTCCAGTTGTCTTTGATAAATCAAATCCTAACTCTAAAACTTTCTCTAACGTGTCTATTTCACAGCCTTCCATTTCACATAACATTTGCAGTGCATTCCTTCCAAATTCATCTTGCAGTTTGATGTCCAGCCCTGTATCCGAAAGTACAGGTAAAAGTTTAATGTGGTTGCGCGGATGACACTTGCGACAAGAGAAGTCATGGGAAGGGATGACATAGAACCGCCTGGAATGAAATCGATCAACCTCTTCACTATCTCAGCATGTCCTCTTGAACACGCCCGTTCAAGCAATGACATGACGTTTTCCATTTCATGAAGGAACAATCTTGTTTTGTCTAATAGCATGTTAACAATAGCAAGGTGGCCCCACAGAACTGCATGGTGTAATGGAAGCTTTCCATTGTCATTTTCCCGTATTGGGTCAGCTCCACAAGAAAGCAACAACTTCACAACATTCACATGACCCCCAACAGATGCTCGGTGTAAAGGAGTATTGCCCCGAAATCCTGCAATGTTGACACAAGCACCATTCTCCACCAAGAGTGCAACACAATCAATATGCCCGGCTTCACAAGCATAGATTAGCGGTGTGTATCGTTTCCCAGAAAATGGTTCAATGTCCGCTGATGACTTCATCAAAGCATCAGCAATATCTCTGTGTCCGTCTCTACATGCGAGATGCAGTGGAACGAGTAAATGTTTATCAGGCACATTTACATTGACTTCACTTTTAATCAAGACTTCAACTATTTTCAAATGGCCCTCAGCACATGCAATATGTAGTGGGGTCTGCTTTGTCCCCGTCAGTCACATTTACATCAGCTTGGTGAGCTAAAAGAATGTTCATAATTTCTGCATTTCCATTCTCTGCTGACTTATGAAGTGCATATTCGTGATTCTTGTTGCAAACCACCACACTTGCTCCTCTGCTACAAAGTACATCAACACTTTCCAAACAGCCTTTCATGCATGCCATATGCAGAATGGTATTCCCGTCAGAATCCATCCCATTTATGTCCCATGTCGCTGAACAAAGAACACTGAATAATGTTTTTAGTTTCATTGCATGATAGAGAGGTGTGTGTCCGTTTTTATCAGTCATGAATACAGAAGCCTTGTACTGAAGCAGTAATTTAACAACTTTTGCACGTTTATTTCTACATGCAGCATGAAGGGGTGTTTCGTCATCATTGTTAAGAAGATGAAGAACATCACCAGCATACCTACGATTGCAAAAGTGTTCCTGTGCTTGATCATGATATCCATTGTCTGTTTCCACCCAAATATAATGAAGAAACAGCTGAAGTAATTTCTCTTGTCCAGACTGACACACAGAGTGCAGAACTGTATTTCCATTGACATCCTTTGTTGTTATGTCTGCACCTAAGCTTAACAACAGTTTGGCAACATTGACATATCCGTAACGACATGCAACAAACAAAGGTGTTTCCGATCGTTTGTTCGTTTGTGACACACCAATGCTTTTGGCAATGACCTCCGCTAAACTGCATTCCCCTACTTCACATGCTAAGTGCAGTGAAGTGTTGTTATCATCATCACGTGCATTGACATCCACACCATGGCTAAGTAGCAGCTCGGCAAGAACAACATTTTTCACTTTGAGTGCTTTGGTGAAACATACTCCAGAGTGATTCGATCCACATCTTAGCAGGACATTACAGACTTGTACCAATCCATAACGACATGCTTTCTGAACTAATGTGTCACTGGAATCATGAACATGCGGGATGCAGTGCAGCATTTGAAAAACTGCAATGTGACGCTTCCCTATAGCTACTGACATGAGACTCAAGAGAAGATCATTGGAGACCATTGGCGTGGCATATTCTGTGAGCAACCAAACGCCATATGCATCACCCTTCACAATAGCTTTCCTCAGTAAAGACTGACATAGCCTGCCTGAGAAAGATTTCTTATCAGATCTATCACAAACATGTTTTACTATATCTTGACTTTCAGAAGTAAAGACCCAATCAATCAATGATCTGTGAAAACAGTCGGACAAAGATGTTACATGTTTAGGTAACACTTCTTTCAGCAACAAAGAGACAACTTCTCTTTCTTCTTTGGCAAACCAACCTGCCGATATGTTCAAATTACCTAAAAGTCTGACAACAGGTGAGTCACCGGCACCATCAGCAGCAAATACATCAGCCCCTTTCTCTATCAACAGTTTGACTGTATCAATATGACCATTCCTACAGGCACATGACAGAGGTGTGTAACCATAACCATCACCAGCAGATACATCAGCCCCTTTCTCTATCAACAGCTTGATTATATCAATATGACCATTTTCACAGGCACATGACAGAGGTGTGTAACAATAGCCACCAGCAGCAGATACATCAGCCCCTTTCTCTATCAACAGCTTGACTATATCAATATGACCATTCTTACAGGGCCCATGACAGAGGTGTGTCACTATAGCCATCATCACCAGATATATCAGCCCCTTTCTCTATCAACAGTTTGACTATATCAATATGACCATTCATACAGGCCCATGACAGAGGTGTGTCACCATCAGCAGCAGCATCAGATATATCAGCCCCTTTCTCTATCAACAGCTTGACTATATCAATATGACCATTCTCACAGGCACATGACAGAGGTGTGTCACCATCATGAGCAGCATCAGATATATCAGCCCCTTTCTCTATCAACAGCTTGACTATATCAATATGACCATTCTCACAGGCACATGACAGAGGTGTGTCACCATCAGCAGCAGCATCAGATATATCAGCCCCTTTCTCTATCAACAGCTTGACTATATCAATATGACCATTCTCACAGGCACATGACAGAGGTGTGTCACTATAACCATCATCACCAGATATATCAGCCCCTTTCTCTATCAACAGCTTGACTATATCAATATGACCATTCTCACAGGCACATGACAGAGGTGTGTCACTATAGCCATCATCACCAGATACATCAGCCCCTTTCTCTATCAACAGCTTGACTATATCAATATGACCATTCTTACAGGCGCCTAACAGAAGTATCTCACCACAGCAACCATCACCAGATACATCAGCCCCTTTCTCTATCAACAGCTTGACTATATCAATATGACCATTCTCACAGGCCCTTAACAGAGGTATGTCACCATCAGCAGCAGATACATCAGCCCCTTTCTCTATCAACAGTTTGACTATATCAATATGACCATTTTCACAGGCCCATGACAGAGGTGTGTAACCATAACGACCACCACCAGATACATCAGCCCCTTTCTCTATCAACAGTTCGACTTTATCAATATGACCATTCTTACAGGCCCATGACAGAGGTGTGTAACCATAACGACCACCACCAGATATATCAGCCCCTTTCTCTATCAACAGCTTGACTATATCAATATGACCATTCTCACAGGCACATGACAGAGGTGTGTCACTATAGCCATCATCACCAGATATATCAGCCCCTTTCTCTATCAACAGTTTGACTATATCAATATGACCATTCATACAGGCCCATGACAGAGGTGTGTCACCATCAGCAGCAGCATCAGATATATCAGCCCCTTTCTCTATCAACAGCTTGACTATATCAATATGATCATTCTTACAGGCCCATGACAGAGGTGTGTCACTATAACCATCATCACCAGATATATCAGCCCCTTTCTCTATCAACAGCTTGACTATATCAATATGACTATTCTTACAGGCCCATGACAGAGGTGTGTCACTATAGCCATCATCACCAGATATATCAGCCCCTTTCTCTATCAACAGCTTGACTATATCAATATGACCATTCTTATAGGCACATGACAGAGGTGTGTCACTATAGCCATCATCACCAGATACATGAGCCCCTTTCTCTATCAACAGCTTGACTATATCAATATGACCATTCTCACAGGCACATGACAGAGGTGTGTCACCATCATGAGCAGCAGATATATCAGCCCCTTTCTCTATCAACAGTTTGACTATATCAATATGACCATTCTTACAGGCCCATGACAGAGGTGTGTGACCACAACCACCACCAGATACATCAGCCCCTTTCTCTATCAACAGTTTGACTATATCAATATGACCATTCTTACAGGCCCATGACAGAGGTGTGTAACCATAACCATCACCAGATACATCAGCCCCTTTCTCTATCAACAGTTTGACTATATCAATATGACCATTCTTACAGGCCCATGACAGAGGTGTGTGACCACAACCACCACCAGATACATCAGCCCCTTTCTCTATCAACAGTTTAACACCACCAGTATGTCTTTCTCTCACAGCTATTCCAAGGGGTGTGGTTTTACCAGCTGAAACGGACCTGCCAGCGCCGTGTTGTAAAAGTGTCCTCACAATCTCTGAGTGTCCATTCTGACATGCCACATGCAAGGGAGTTTGGGAGCCATCAACTGGCAATGGATATGCTGTTCTATCCAGCAATAGCTGTAAAACATTGGAATAACCTTTACTACATACAACATGTAATGGTGAACAGTTGTCAAAGTTTAGTATGGTGAGATCAGCATTTCTTTTAAGTAGAATATCAACAACATCTATTCTTCCCTCTTGGCAGGCTAGATGAACAGGTGTGTTTCCATCTTTATTCCTGGGAGAGATCTTACACATACTTGCTAGTATCAAAACACTCCTTTTATGGCCGGCTTCACAAGCTAAGTGGAGGGGAGTGTTAAAGTTGCAGTCGACCAGACTGAGATCAGCCTTGCTTTCCATCAGACACTTTAATACTTCTGTATGTCCTCCATGTGCTGCTACAGCAGCTGGTGTTGATCTGGCGGCGATATGTCCTGCTTCACCTAACTGGGGCTGCAGCTGGGCATTTACATCACATCCATACTGAAGCAGCAGCTGAACGATGTCTGCATGTCCGTAATAGGAGGCGAGATGTAGTGGGGGAAGATGATGAGTTTGGAGACATTCAGTTTGTCCCTTACAAATGTCAATGCCATAGACTACTTGTAAGCTGGGTGACAAGGATAGAATTACATCCAGTTCCATATCTTCTAGAAGTAGTTGCAGTATTTCTGAATTGCCACTCACACAACACGGTATGACACATTCTTTCCTCTCCTCTTCAGTCATGTAACTTGAAAGCACTTTGTATAATTCAGCATTTCTTCCAAAACATATCCAGTTCAGGAAGGTACCACGATGAGTTGTATCACATGTTTTAAAAAGTTCTCTTATATTTCTGTGTACTGAGGTACCCATTCCAATGGATCGTACTAATGTTGAAGCAAAAGTGTGCTTTCCACAAGCTTGATGAGTCAAGGTAAAAGCAAAGTTGTGTTTTTCTATCTCTGTTTTAAAGTGTAATGCCAAGTCCTTCTGTCTGCTCTTATCCAAGTAAATGGTAAATCCTGGGTCATTCTTCAAGGAAGTCCAGGGCACCTTCACGTGTCTGTATATAAACAAAGGATCTAGTTCACAGATATATTCAACAGCAGCAGCCTTGATGATTGCTTCTACATGAGATTGTGTATCTTTATACCTGAACTGTACTACTGTATCCTGTGATGTGAGTAATGACCCAGTCAGGCCATGTAAGCACTGGCTAAACTGCCCTTTACTCATTTCGTCCATTCTGGTCAACTGACAGGACCACCTCATGTGCCACTCTTCTGCTGCATCATCCAAGTTTGACATCATCAGTTTTCCTCTGTCCAAACAAAGTAGCATCAGAGCTGTAAAGTTTGGCTTCTGGTTTTCAAATAAAGCCTCACACTGTGACCGTGTTGAAACATGATCTGCAAGAGACAATGGTTAAAAAAGCTGTGAATCTAACCATGACAATACCATCAATTTGGGGTTAATTTAGTTAAACGACTGGGCAGGAAATATATTGTCGTATTCTTTTTGAAAATAGGTAGTGGCAAACTACAAACTGATGGTCCCAAAGAAATGTCAAAAATTGAATTCATAGAAGCTACCGGTATTTGTAATTTCTTTTCAACAGACATATATTTTATCCTATTTGGCAGCCTGTAAGATCACATGTCGGCAGATCATGAACAATCTCATGAAAATACTATCCCAGCTCTTGTTACCATAAACATGATGAACAATGATAGAGAATATAGTATTCTGGATATTGTCAGAACAACTTTCCTCAAACCAATCAGAGCGCTGCTTACCAGATCTGTAAAGTGACATTTGGAATTTATTTCTAATCATAGATCTACAAAAAGGTTAGCACTGATTCCGTCAAAATTCAATTGAAACAACATATTCTTTCCATAGTCCCCAGAAAAGTATCGTAAAGTATTAGACAATCGAGAATTTTCTTTCGTCCAGGTTTTTACTTTTGAAACAAGATATTTGTCAAGTACTTTTCAAAATATAGTCTGGAATGAAAGTTGCTGTTTGTAACAAGATCCATAATGCTTACATGTGAAAGCTGCTTTCTGATTGACTAGAGTTGACCTATTTTCTGAGGAAGGGTTACTTATGACAGAGTATGTTTAAATACAACCCCGTTTTATCAAATTGGGTACATAATTGGAGTAAGACAGTGTCAACAGGAACAGGCCAGTACCCACGTTTTGACCCCGAATGAGGTAATAAGGGGATTTATCTGGAACAAATGGTATCAGAACATGTTCAGTTGGGATGGCAATCAGTTTCATTGAGGTTGGTCATGAACCTTGTTAAAAAGTGAAATATGTTAGTCACTTATCGTTATGAAGTATTTATATGAAACTCAAGGACTATAGTATAGTATATCCAGTCTTAACTGTCCTCTGAAATTTGTTCTGAATGGATCACTAAAACTCAGTGTTGACACCAGGTGTTCAGTGGTCAGTGGTAAGCATTTCCTGCCCTATCTGTAGCACCCACCATACCACTCTTTCAAACAATCAAACTTATGTCTGATTGAAAAGATATATTCTGTGTACTAAAAATACTTTACTCAAAAAGAGCTTACCAAGAGTGTTTACACAAGACTCTGATTCCATCGGTCCTGACTGATCCTGTACAGAATCTTTTGCAACTTCAATCTTCATATCTTCCTGAGATCCATTACATTCACATGGGATACTACTTCTAACACTGAAGTTTCTGTCTCTAGTTGTCTCTACATGGCCAAGGGCAGTGGCATCTGAATGAACATGATCTAGTTCAGCCATGGAAGAACCTGCACTCTCCTCCTTGGATAATATAGCACATGTTGTTTCCTCTGAAAATGTTACATTTTCAGTTTCATTTATTTCACATTCCATAGGTGTCGGCCTACAGCCTGACACATCAGGTGTCAGTTCACTGCCTGAAACACCAGGTGTCAGATTACGGTTTGACACATCAGGTCTTGATTCACTGCCAGATACATCAGTTACTTGGATCTCTTCCTTGGCAAATTCCATTGACATCACAGTTTCTGCTTGCTCATCAACAGCCAGCACCACAGCGGACATCAGCCTCTGTGTCACATACTGTCGATACGCAGCCACATGGCAGTTCCTCATCAAGCATGGGGAGACTCTTGCAGCAAGGGCTTCTGCAGCCTGAAACGAGTCATCAAGAGATGAAGTTAATAATAACGAACCCTCTCTGCTGCATTTTTTCATCTAAATCTGTAATAAAATCATGATAGGACATTTATATAGCACCTTACCATGTGACTGGGATATGCTCAAACCGCTTCCTGAGCTCAAGTAAAAACTGTATCATTGATTAAAAGTTACTTGTAGTGGAGAAATAGATGAGTCTTGAGTCATGTTTTGAATATACTTAGGGTAGGAGATGATTTTAACTCGATTGGGACAGAGTTCCACAGAGAAAGGTTCTTGAGCCAAATGATTTTAGATTATAGCTTGGGACAGCGAGTAACAGTCGTTGTGATGAGCGTAGAGTTATTTCTAGAGAGTAATGTGTCAGTAGGTCTTGAAGGTAGGGTCCTTGGTTGTAGAGGACTGATAGGTGAATCAGAGAAGTTCCTAAAGGAGTTTGGCTGCTTCTGCCCCACATTTAGCGGTCTGCAATTAGATAGATCCAAGTTGTTGAGTAAACAATTAACAATGTTAAGTATTTGCAAAACCCCAAAGCATCAAAAGACACCTGTTCACCACAAGATCAAGCAGTGTAGTAAATTTCATCTTGAAATATTCAAAGTGTTAGGAGTTCTGCTCTATTTTTACAATGCAAATACCTTTTCTCATAGTGAAAACATAAATGTTATAGAATACAAAATATCCCAAGTCATCAAAAGCCTTAGGTTCACTGCAACTCATATAATAAGTGTCATCATGAATTTACTCTGCAGTTTGGAAGTTCTACTCGAAAACGGGGATGGGCAGATGGATGGAAGCACATGTTGATCTCTATATCCCCCTTTTCAATACAAGGGCATAACAAGTACACAGAAATCATGATCAGGAAAATGACAGTTTTGGGTTGGTCAGCCATTTCTATTTACTATTTGTCCACAACTAAACCAGAAACAAACAGCTGTGAACACTTGTTATAATTAACTCATCTCAAAATGATACTGTGTAGTGTATGGCAGCTGAACACAGAAATTATTTCCCTGCAAGTGAAAATATCTCAACAGACAGGATTACTTGGCTACAGCTTTGACAGACACTTTGAAAGTACACAATATAGACTTCATCTGATTGAAGGGAGATATCTCAGGATTACACAGGCGTCACAACTGGTCTGCTAACCACGCATTTACCTGATTTAAGGGAAATAATTAAGGGGTGAGTATACAGTCATCACTTACATGGTGAGTATACTGTCCAAACTCACATGGTGAGTATACTCTCATCACTGACATGGTGAGTATACTGTCATCACTGACATGGTGAGTATACTGTCATCACTGACATGGTGAGTATACTGTCATCACTGGCATTGTGAGTGTACTGTTATCACTGAAATGGTGAATATACTGTCATCACTGACATGGTGAGTGTGCTGTCATCACTGACATGGTGAGTGTGCTGTCATCACTGACATGGTGAGTGTACTGTCATCACTGAAATGGTGAGTGTACTGTCTTCACTGACATGGTGAGTATACTGTCACCACTGACATGGTGAGTGTACTGTCACCTCTGACACGGTGAGTATACTGTCACCTCTGACATGGTGAGTATACTGTCACCACTGACATGGTGAGTGTACTGTCATAACTGACATGGTGAGTATACTTCACTGACTGAGTTTCCTCTCCTGCTGACATGGTGAGTATACTGTCACCTCTGACACGGTGAGTATACTGTCACCTCTGACATGGTGAGTATACTGTCACCACTGACATGGTGAGTGTACTGTCATAACTGACATGGTGAGTATACTTTCATAACTGACATGGTGAGTATACTGTCATCACTGACATGGTGAGTGTACTGTCACAACTGACATGGTGAGTATACTGTCATAACTGTCATACTGTCATTACTGACATGGTGAGTATACTATCAACACTGACATGGTGAGTATACTGTCCCTGCTGACATGGTGAGTATACTGTCATCACTGACATGGTGAGTATACTGTCCCTGCTGACATGGTGAGTATACTGTCATCCCTGACATGGTGAGTAGACTGTCATCACTGACATGGTGACTGTACTGTCACAACTGACATGGTGAGTATATGTCATAACTGTCATCACTGACATGGTGGAGTGTACCGTCACAACCGACATGG